GCATGGACGGCTTCAAAAGGGAATTAGATAAGCATATGGAGCAGAGGTCCATCAGTGGCTATTAGCCACAAGGTATAGATAGGGACTCTGGGGCAAGTGATGCTCTGTCATCTTGGTGCTTGGGGGGGTCAACAGTGGGAGGGCTTCTAATGTCCTGGCCCCACTGGTGGACCTCCTGATGGCACTAGTATTTCTGGCCACCGTGTGATACAGAGTGTTGGACTTGATGGGCCTTTGGCCTGATCCAACATTGGCATCTCTTATGTTCTTATGGCCTACCCCCACTGTACCTTGTGGCCCTGATCAGAATTAGGCCTCGTGTGTGTCTTGTACATACACTTAATAAAATCTGGGAGTTCCTTTCACAGAACTCCCAGTGCCTTGTGGGGTTTGGCCCCCAGAAGCTCTTTGTCTTAGGTTAGGCAGCTGGCAAACAAAGGCCAGGCCCTTTTTGGTGGTGGCACCCAACCCACAGAACTCTCTGTTGTGGCCTCGCATTTATCTTTCTTGTAGAGTGTTAAATTGGTCTTACAGAAGCAGGGTTTAAAGAACCTGGTCTTATAGAAGCAGGCTTATTTCTGTTTTTAGTTTGCATTGTACATATCTTACTGCTAAGTTTGGCTTTCAAGAGATTTTATATTGCCATGCTTTCTTCTTATTATGGGTTGGATCCATTAAATTCCCTTTCGCTGTGTGAGGAGACTTCCTCAGGCAGAGAGAACTTTTCTGTCAGCGAAAAGGAGTCACTGGATCCAACCCATTCGTTGCCTCAAATACAGTAGGAGAAAAATATCAGATACAGACATTGTAAATGGAGACAGACAAATACACAGGAGAAGGATTAAACAACTCTTTGCTTCTGTGGAGCTTCCCTCCTTGATCACCTCAAAGCGATTCTGATTCCCCTCAGACAGACTGGATAAGGTTAATTAGCCCAAACCAAAATTTTTGGCATGCTCCCAGGAATGCTTTTATAATAATTTATGGATAGAAACTGTATTCAACTAAAAGTGTGATCCTATGCAAAATCATTCCAGTTTAAGCCCATTTAAACCAATGTGTTTAGACTGGAGTAACTTTGCATAGGACTACAGTGTAAACCTTCTATTCCAACCTTTACAAAGGTGTTTTTTTTAAGTGAGGGGTATAGACATTTATATAGATAAAGCTCAATATAATCTATCTGCAACACAGAAGAAGTGAATACAGTTAAATGTTCTCAAAAACACTCAATGGGGTGGGAAAAAAAGATACAAAGTCACACCCAGAGCAGCACAAAACAATTCTCAAAAATTCAGCGAAATATCACTTGCTTAAATATAAACTGTTTCAGCAAGAGCCCTTGAAAACGCAGAGAAGGAAACGCCCAATGTGCTACAATTGCTATGCAACTCAGGATGCACCTGAAGGGGAGGTGGGTGGATGCCCCGGGTTCAAATACAGGACAGCTGCAGTGCAATCCTAGGCAAAGTTACCCCAGTGTAGGCCTACTGACTCCAGTGGACTTAGATTGGAGCAGCTTTGCACAGGAATGCACTACTGAGGCTTAACTCTGAGGGAAAGCCAGTCTTCCCTCCTCGAAAAGCATCCAGGATAGTAATTTCTGGTGTAGAACAGGGGTTTCCAATAGGGATGGGCACAAACTGCATTTTTGTGGTTCAAGTCGTGGCTGAACCACAAACCGATACACTGGTTCACAAACCAAATTGGTTCATTTTGGTTCATGAGCCATTTTACCCCCTGCTTTCTGGTCCCTGCCAAAGTGGCAGTGAGCAGAAAGCAGGGGGTAAAATAGCTCCAAGCCATTTCTGCTCTTCATGAACTGCCATAAACTGCCACAAACTGCATCAACATTCGTGGAAGTTCATGGCAGCTCTTCAGTTCGTGAACATCGTTTCTCCAACCAAGAACCGGCCAAAATTCCTGACAAGCTTTACTTGGTGAGCCAGTTTGTGCCCATCCCTAGTCCTCAACACTGGGCCTGTGGGCACTGCAGTGCCCACAGACACCTTTTCTGGTGCCCACCAAGTGTTTCTAGAATGTGGATGAAGCCAGGTAGGGCTTTTGACCAACATGGCTTCTGATTGGCTGTGCAGATTTTTAAAAATGTTGCTTTGGCCGTGGCAGCTACACAAGATCTTCACTGTGTGAGTTAAGATAAGTCACAGCAGCCATTATGTGTCTGGCTCTGCCTGTTGCAACAGCCATTTTGTGGCTGTGCCGGCCATCCTGTGTCAGAATTCCAGATGTGCCTGCAGATTCAAAAGAGTTGGGGACCCCTAGCCTAGAACGACGATGGAGCGAAACATCAGAAAGCATGTTTCCACACTCCAAACACATCTTCCTATAAACTCCCTAAAGAACAAAGATTTCTCAACTGGCAAAGAATGACGCAGGCCCAGAGACGCTCAGAAGAAAGAGCCATATAACTATTTTGAAACAAACAGACCGGAAGAGGGGATCCTCCCATGGAGTAGGAAAAGGGAAGGTGGGGAAGCGGCAGGGTTAATTTTGTAAACCAGCTGTTGTGAAAGCTGTGACTTTGGCCAGCCTGGATTGCAGCAATGTTTATTAATGGAGCTGAAGAGCTGATTAGGAACACTCCCTGCTACTGCCATTCACCCGTACAAGCATCTACTAGTCCCAAAGATCAGGCTTGCAAATAACTGCTCCCGTTTGGTGTAGTGGTTCAGAGCAGTGGACTGTAATCTAGAGATCCGGGTTTGATTCCCCACTTCTCCACATGCAGCCAGCTGGGTGACCTTGGGCCAGTCCCAGTTCTCTCAGAGCTGTTCTCTCAACAGGAGTTCTCTCAGAGCTCTCTCAGCCCCACCTACCTCACAGGGTGTCTGTTGTGGGGAGAGGAAGGGAAGAAGATTGTAAACCGCTCTGAGACTCCAAGTGAAGAGCCTGCCTCGCTAAGTTAAAAAAGTAGATCAATGGAGCATGTGGGAACATCATTTTAACTGTCACCTGTGGAGTATGGTTCAATCTGAAATTACTGCTCATGCACTTTATTTGAAAACTGTACCAGCGCTTTAGGAAAGTGGATTTATGGATTTTAGGATAACTGACCTGTTTTGGTATGATAAATTTTATGATGGATTTTAAATGTGCATTTGTGTAAGCCGCCCTTAGCCTGCCTTGGTAGGGAGGGCAGGATAGAAATTGAATAAAACAAACAAACAAACCTCGTCTCAGGGCATAAATAGGCCACAAGTGATTAACAAAGCGATTCTTAACCAGGGCCCTGAACTCCTTAATGTTTCACTGGAGCCCTATTTGCTGTGTACTACTTTTTAACAAGGGCCTAGGGGGAGGAATCTAGGATTTTATCCTGCAGGTCGGATGAACAGTATAACACAACTTGCCTCAACTGGCTGTCAGAAAACCATTCGTGGAGAGAGGACTGCTCAAAATCTCAAACACTCCCCAAAGTTCTGAAGGCCTGCCAAGCCCAGTTTGGAGACTCCCCCCTCTCGGAGTTGGCGGCTGGCCCTCAGGCACTTGGGGGTCATAAAATGGATACTTGAGATCTGTGCATCATATGAATATATCGTACTAATACTACATACTATATAGAAAAAAAGGGTGCAGAGAAACAAGAAAATGAATGTCCTGCCATTAGGGAGCTAGTCTACTGTTAAGCACAGACACACATACCCTCCACACAGGCAGGGTGACTTCACCACATCATGCACAGCTGCATCATATGAATATATCGTACTAATACTACATACTATATAGAAAAAAAGGGTGCAGAGAAACAAGAAAATGAATGTTCTGCCATTAGGGGGCTAGTCCACTGTTAAGCACAGACACACGTACCCTCCACACACGCAGGGTGACTTCACCACATCATGCACAGATGCTCCACTATTACACACATCTCCATCTCCCCCTTACACCACAATTGGACACTCAAAGACATGGCTCTGCTTCCCATAATGCACATTCATTACTAGCACAAACACACACGATTGCATGCACTCCCGTGCATCCTTAAACATATTTGCACAAACGTAGGCACCAAAACCGTCACGGCCGCTTACAGTTGCGAAATGACCGAGTGCAAAGCACGAGTGGAGGCGCCCTCTCGTGCACCCTTAAACATGCTTGCACGAACGTGTGCACCAAAACCGGAGGCGCAGTTACTGAGAAGTTAAGTCCCACAGTGTTCAACGGGTTTTACTTCTGAGTAAGCGCATGCAGGACCGTGCCCTCCCTCATACACTCCTGCAGGCACGGTTTTCCAGCGACACGCACCCAGACGGAGCCGAACTCGCGTCCACAAAGCATTCCATTGTGCCCCGATTAAGACATCAGGGGTGCAGCGCGGGCCAATTAAATCCTGGGAAAGTCCTCCAGCACGGCCGCAAGAGGCTGGTGTATATCCGCCCCCCCCCCCG